TACCACCGTCCTTTGGTCGACGTGTTGTTCTTTTCTCAGAATTCAACCAATGGCTTTAATGCCGGCGTACAAGAACAAAATAAAACAAGGGAAGCGCGAAAACATGAAATTTACTTTTCTTGAGCGTTTGCTTACTGCCAGTTTATTATCTCCAGCCAAATAAGCCGCTTCCCACATACCCCATGTTACAAGAGATCTAGAGGAGAGTTATAAGAGGGACAGTCTAACCCCAGGGAGGAATAACGATATAGTCTGTCTGACTTTTGGTTTCCAAAGTCATTTATGTAAGTAATTCTAATAAACTTCTCCGAGGCTTCAGTGTCCATGTTAGACTTATCCTTGGTTAATATTAAGGGCTAAGTAAGTCACTATCATACTGTTTGTGTTGCCCATTGGCGGTGACCAATTTGGACCTAAAATTCTTATGTCTTCAATCAGCCGGAAATCTTATTCCACGAAGACGGCCCGGAAGGTGGACGTCCCTTAGTTTGTTTTCGCATTCGCCCTGGTCGCAACACCGAAGAATAGACAGAAAAATACTCCTACAACAATTTCGAGAAAACTGAGTCGTCCTTCTTCAAAACTTTTGCTCAGCTTGTGGGGAAAAGCAGGCTTCCCCCGACTTTGATAACTTCATTGTAGGATAAAATAAGGCCATCGGCTCGGCGTGACTCGAGGTTGAGGACTTTGGCTGTGAATCATTGAAAAGTCTAAGCATTAAATAAGGAAGGTCGGAGGTTTGACTTAACATTGGAGTAGTCTTCCTCCAGTCCAGTATATTTTGATAGCTTTTTAAAAATCCGTTGTCCTGCTGTTGCCACTTGGGTTTATGTCTACTCCATCGACTTATTTTATGGTTTTTCTGTGGGCTTTTTTTCCAAAAATCCTTCGGGTAATAAGTGATTAGGACTATAATCGACAACCCAAGTTCTCCTCCCAGACGTGTTGAGGTCACTTTCGTAGGGCGATAGACAGGCGTGCCATAAGCAAGCCAGCAAACGGACGGGAATAAATTCAGTTGGTAAACAACAATCTAAAATTTAACCAGGTTGGGAATATGACACCATATTTCACGTGCGCGACACACGCTACTACTAAAATTGCTGCATTTCCTGGTGTGGACATTCCTCATTTTGCGCCTGAATATGAAGCTACTCAAATAAGAGGTGTGCACGAAAGGTCAGACTAAACATTCTGACCTCTGCACTCATGACTTTACTTGATGTACGTTACATAAAAATTCCAAAAAAATACAGCCTATCATTAATTAATCGATTTCGTATGACAGCTCACTGGGACCACTGCATTAGATGCGGATGAACCAAACCCCTTAGGGTTGGGCGCGTCATGTAACGACAGAAAATCTCTAACACTAACTCAGCCATCTAAGTGATGCCCGTATTGTTTGTATGGTGGAGCAATGTTACGTGAAAAACCAATCATTCCTAGTTGCTTCAGTCCATTTACACAACTTTTTCAGACAGACGGAAGTGGAGAATGCGTAAAGCCAATGTCTTCGTAAGATGAATTTTTTCCAGCAGTCGCGTCGCAGCACCGCCAACTAGTAACAAATTTCTCATAGGCTTTCAAGCACATAAATCTTAAAACGCAAAATGCCAAAACTTACTGGGTTTTCAAAGAGCCCGCACATACCAGAAGTAATGACTCGTATTCGCTGTATCTGCGCTCTATACGAACACCAAACATTAATGAAAGTGAGGGTAAAATATACGTCCAGCTTTGAGAAAATAACATAGAGAAAAATCGGTCAGCTGCCTTCAGCATTGTACAGGTGTGCAGATCACTTAGGCAGGGACTGGAACCAAGTGCGAAGAAAATATATCAGCAGGATCTGGTTAATTAAAGCTTTTCGACTCGTCATAGCTATTAACATAGGTGTCATCGTGAAAACGTTGAGCATGAAACTTAGATAAAATTTTTGATTTTTTAACTGTTTTAAGAAAATAATATATTCCTTTAGTATATAGTAATTTTATAGTCGAGGCAGGCTGTGGTAAACGGAATCTCAGACAGCGCGAAACAGACATGCTTTTATTCTTGTCGGTTGTGACGCAACAAAAGACCGATTATTATTATATATATAGCGGGTTGGCCAACTCATGAAATGTCAACCAAAATTCCGAAATACATTTACATTTCGAAAATATCAATTAAAGAGGGTTGCAAAACTAATGCTCCTGCAGGGTAATTCTATAACAATTCAGTTACCTCGAGATGCTGGCTTTCGGAAGAACTTCTTTCGGGCTGCATGCAGAAAGTACAGTCTGTAAGAAATGACTTCTCAAGTAGCATTCATTTTCTCATTGATTTTCGATGCTCTCTAAAGTTCAATTATATTTCATAGAAGACATGCACAAAATATTCATTTTTTTGCCCTTTCGGAAGAAATTGACGTCTTCCTCCAGTTTCATGCTTGAAAGAATGTATAATAAGGTTTTTAAAAACTTTTCCGATTCCCGAATAATTTCGAACCCGGTCTGCCATTACATTGCATTCAGGGTTTCCAAACCACAGACCGTATATTTTCCGCGTACCGAAAACCAAACATTTTTCTACGGTATTAAAAGGAAATTGTATGGGTTCATAAAATTTGGCCGTGGATTTGAGCCATACTGTTACAAGTCACATTGGTAAATACAGAGACATGACGTCTTATGAACGGCTATGTCATGTATTGAAAAATCTCACAATTAGAAACTTTTTGAAACCGAATTATATCTTTTCTTCGAGAATGAAATTGGAAGAAGACTTAATTGTATACCGAATGGGCACAACAATGAATATTTTATGCATGTCTTCTATGAAATATAATTGAACCTTTAAGAGCATCGAAAATCAATGAAAAAACTCAATGCTATATGAGTAATCATTTCGTACAGGGTGTGGTATCTGCATGCAGCTCGAAAGACATTCGTTTGAAAGCCGGGCTCTCGAGGTAACTGAGTTGTTATAGAATTACGCTACATGATGATTAGTTTTGCAACCCTCTTTAATCGATATTTTCAAAATGTAAACGTATTTCGGAATTTCGGTTGACATTCCATGAGTTAGCCCACCTACTGTACATATACACGGGCTCCTAGAAGCATTTAGCACCGTTTTTACCAGTAACTGACCGTGATATTTTCGTAGACTTTATTGAAATTTGAACCACCTTTTAATTCAAGAGTAACATTCAGTTCTTCAAAAAAGACCAGGGTTTGAGGCAAATGTTGACTGAAGTAAATATTAGGCAACTTTAGGTGAAAGTTGACCGCCTTCGTTGATTACTCGTGATATAATTTCTTACAGTAAGACAGGGAAACTCCTCGCTAGCGTGGAACTGCCTCGGTATAAATGGGGGGGGGCGCAACAGAACTACATTATTCAGTTAAGGTCAATCGACGTAAACAGAGTCGCGTTTTGGAACAAAATGCCCCATAAATGAAAGATATTCAGACGTTCAGAGAACTTGCGATATTACAGAGTGTCGCAGCAAGTTCGAGTAAACACGATTGGTCGCAGTAGCGCCATGCAAATTGACCCACTTAATACTTTGGGCGACAAGCTACATCATACTGTAACTTCTGCAAACTGCCATGGTATTCCCCGCAATATATGAAATGCCCGGCTTCTGGTAGGTTCAAACGTGCCAGCTAATTTAACCATTTACAGTAGGTGTGATAACTCATGAAATACTAACCGAAATCCTGAAATGCGTTTTCGACTCGAAAAGATCACTTAAGCATAATCCCATGATAATTCAGTTACCTCAGAATACCGGCTTTTGAACTAGCTTATTTTCGGCTGCCTGTGGGAACTACACTCTGTAAAAAAGAACTACTTCAGTGGAACAAAATGTTCTGATTGATTTTGGATGTCCTTACAAAGTCAAATATATTTCATGGAAGACCTGCATAAAATACTCATTCTTTTACTCATTTTGTAGACAATTACGTCTTTTTCAAGTGTTATATTTGAAGGAAAGTTACAATGTGGTTTTAAAAAACTTATTTTATTCCCGAATAATCTTGAACCCGACATGCCGTTCCACCTGCATTCAGGGTTACCAAACTAAATGTTTTATATTTTCTGGAAAATAATGCAAATAGCTACGGTGTTAAGAGAAGACCGTACAAGGATTCATTAAATTTATGAGTGGACTTGAGCCACATTGCAAATTTTACAAGCAACGGTAGTAAATGCAGAGAGACAGTGTTTTATGGACGGGCACTTTATAGTCTTAAAAAATCTCATACTAAAAACCTGTTTTAAAATCGAATTATACTTTTCCCTCAAGTATAAAATCCAACAGAAACGTAATTTTCTACTAATCGAATAGGCGAATGAATATTTTTATGCATGTTTACCATGAAATATATTTAAATTTATAAGGACATCGAAAATCATTAAGAAAATTTTGTGTCACATAAGTAGTCCTTTTTTACTGAGTGCAATTTTTGCAGGCAGCCGAAAAGAAGTTCGTTCAAAGGCCGTCATCCTGGAGTAACTGAACTACTATGGGATTATGCAACACGATGGTTAATATTACAAGCCTACTTAGGTAATCTTCTTGAGTCGAAAACGCATTTCGGAATTTAGGTTAAAATTTCATGAGTTGGCCATATAACATAATTTAAACACAATGCAATCAGTCCACACAATCCGTCTTGGAAAGCGTATGTCTTCAACACATTTGGTCATATATCCTTCACAATACTTCATAGTGGTCCGGAGCATCATTATTTATAGCAATGACTTATCTTGAAATGCCAATTTTTCAATATCCACGCTCTCAAATACGACGGAGAGATGAGCCCGAAATCCTGCGCCACAACCGCTAAAACGTGTTGACACTTTTGTGGCGTCCCGTATTAAGAATATAATAATAGACTAACGTACCACCAAGATGGCTGATTTTAAATCACAAGGAAATGTCAATGCATAGTCATACAGCTGTGCTTTTACTAACTAAAATCCTCTTATTACTTCTCAAATGCATGACAATTCCGAAAGCGAATAAAAACGCAAAGCAGCATGAAGTTGTCAAGCCTGTATTCAATCAGAAGGAGTTGCTGGAAAGGGACGATGCCACTAATCTACGGCTCCTAGAAATTGCTTACGCCTCAATGGTAATTGCCGCTGCTGCTCCAACCACCGAAAGCTCTCAATCAGCATATAATTCTCCCGTAAGTAGTACAGAGTTCGATGCATTTTTGCCGATTTAAAACTGGCAAGCGTTCCTTTATAATAAATTTTTATTAGAACTAAGCCTAAAACATACTTGTTTAACTGCATGAATTTTTTGAAAATAATGGCATTACTTATCAACTTTTATAAGTTGGCCTACGCTTCTAAATGTTCCAGCGTATTGCCCTGGAACGACATGAGACAGTGCATACACTAGGCTTTTACACCCGGAAGAGATGAAGGTTTCATGTATGGGCTCCAAAAATATGCAGACAGTGCAGTATGCGTGCATTCAAACAGTAATTTACAAATGCATTTGAAGTTAGAATTCGTCGAGGCCGGAGCAACGTATGTTGCCACTTATTGGAAAAAATGGTCGTTAAAGGAGTACAAAGTCCCCAGTCTACCAGAGGAAATGCAGTTCGTTCTGGACAAACACGGTTGCAGCGGAAAATACTCCTGATTCCCACGCAGTGATCTTTGGTGAGTGATGTTGTGTTAGGTAACTGGAACAGTCTACCACCGAGAACTAACAGTCTACTGTAAACGGGATGTTTGGGTGGCAAGATCTAGAATTTCCACTATCGTCGTCGCGCTTAATTCCCGTTTCGTGCACGACGGCAGATATTAGGAAATGGACTGCTGACGCATGATCTTCCTCATTCCTCGCGTTAAGCTTATTTTGTTTTGCTGAAGTCCGTCTAACCATTCTACTCAACATTTGTTGAGGCGATAGGGATAATTTGGCGGAGACGATTACTAATCCATAATGCTAAATATCCATAACTATACATGCAAGCCCCTAAGGCAAGCGTGCCGGCTGCTCACAAGTTGGTTAGCTCCTGACAAGAAAATCCCCCTAATAGCCTCTCTGAGTTACTAGCCCATAGAACAGAGAATGATCGACTATGTTTGAAATTTTTCACCTTGACTTAATGCGCATCAATTTTTTCGGTTTTTCCGACTGAAAAAATACCGTTTGCACGTTGTTACCCTAATACTGAAAGACAACCTTCTGACAAACATAGCTCACAAACAGTAAATATCCACCCAGTTTGCTTATTAGTCAATAAGACTCATCTAAGTGTGGTTTTGCTTACCTAACCATTTTCAGAGTATGCTGTTTAGTGTTTAATGGAGCTTCACTAGATGAGTAAGTTGGCTAGCTGTTCAGAATTAATGCACTTTAAAGGCATGGAAGTAGAATCCATTCAGAGTCATAAAAAGGGTGGCCAGACACTTCTCAAACTTAATTACACGGAAACTTTAAGAGTCATTTTTCCCATTTTATCGGACTGCCCATCTATCAAAAGGACAATTTCTAATTACACGTGTCATTTCCCGACTTAGTTCACCTAATAAATATGCTTCCATCGTGGGCAACTTTTCGTGCATTATTTACTCGAATGGACACGTTCTCTTCTTGACGGAGGCAGGAGCAGTGATTGCAGTCGGCATCTGCTAAGCTTCTGGTTTTTCGCTACCCCCTCTATCGGAATGTCCCAGCACCGTATGATCAACTGGTTAGGCTATATTTTTCTTATGCGCGGTTGGAAATCTGGAAGTTGGCGGGTGAGTCAGTTTCCGCCGGACACAGCTTTGGCATGTCACAGCCTGACACGATAGCTGCCATAGTTGTGATGCCGCGGCAGCTGCCGGCAACGAAGGTGTTTGCCCCCACGAAAGTGCGTGCGACAGGCTCACTCCGGTCCATTTCCTCGAGTCCTCTGAGCAGCAGCAGCCGTACTGACGGCGGAGGCAGTTCCATGAGACACAAGTAGCATCTCCTTAAAATATTCAAACACTTTTAGCTAGCATGTAATCAGTGACAGCAGTGCAGTGAGGACTTTCAGCCAGTCTGATGGGCTGTACACAGCTGACGTATCTGAGCATTCAGACTCGTCTTGGCGTGTTTTGAGGCAGCTTGACCGCGAACTTCTTTCCCCAAGTTGAGCGCGAGCAAAGGCCTTCAGGGAGGAGGTATTTTGCCTCTGAGGCGCACTTATCTTAAGTCAGAAGCGTCAACTCTTATGAATAGGTCTCTCAAGGAGTGGTTTTGAGTACAACAAAAACATTTCAAATCCGACCGGTATGATGGTAGGTCACGAATTTATTTGCTGGTAGCCCGCACACTACAGGAGGTAAACACTTTTATCAAGACAGAGTGATCGAGAATTTTAGGCAGATTAAGTTATTTTCAGTAAGGTACAGACCTCCGTTTTCGCTAAAGGCACTAGCAACTTAAATTTAACACTCAATGGTCTTCGTGGGTGCGCGAGCACGAAAATATAGGTGATATTTTGGGGCGACAGTATGCAGAAGGACCCCACTTTACTGTCGGTAGACTGTGCCTCGTGTCATACGTGATTGGTGATAAGGGGAGTCTTATGGGTGGGCCAGCACACTAGACAGTAAGCTGACGAAATGCAGGAAAACACCGAAATTATTTGTTTCTTCCGAAAGACTAATTGTACGCTTTCGTACGACAACGGAACTGAGCGCGGTAATTAAAAAATAAAAAAAGTAAATTTCAAAAAATAAAGGAGTTTGAGTGATGGTTTGAAGTCATGGCAAGTGCTTGTTATTGACAGAATAATGTCTGCAGAGGCCTGCGAATGGATGTCAAGATAAAAGCCCATATGACGTGATTCACAGTCTGCCGTCCGTTAAATGGGATACTTATCGATACCGTTGTCCATTTTGGACTGCCAATCTCAAAATTTTCGTCTTAATGACCGATTTCGACGTGGTACACTAACTGATATTTATGAAAATGATCGAAAATGGATGATGGACTTTGAAATGTGGTTATAAAAGAGTGAGTAAGCGTTTTTAAAACAAAAATCCAGAAAATTCGCAAGAAACCTTCTTTACTCACAGCGGCTGAGACAGCATAAAACTGCGGAACCATACTGATGACAGCACTGACCAGAGTTTTTGGATTTTTCTGTCACTGTACACCAGAAACCGTGCCATGAATGAAAGCCGACCGCTGGTGCACCGGCGTACTGCGGAGGGTACGAAGAAAGTCACACCAGTTTGGACGGTATGATATCGCAGCGAGCAAGTCAGAGTAAAGGGTGTGGAGAGCATAATCAAGAATTCAATAACTCAAGGGCATTAAGCGCCGTGAAGTGCTTGAGATGCACTAGTAGGAAGAGCGGTATATGAAGGACACGTTAGTTGGAGATTATCGGCGAGATCCTATTTCGTAGCCGTACCTGTTAGGGGTCAGGTATTAGACTGGGGCTTGCGTTCTACAAGTACGGCTATGAAATAAGATCCAACCAGATTATCCATCCTTAGGAAACCAGGAAAATTGGCAGGAAACCAGTACAGGATAAAAGGGAGAATAGGGATCTGTCAATTGCCATCTTCAAACCAGAAAGTTATGGTAGGGACATAAATGCCGAATGGAATAGAAAATTGTAGGAATTTAATTAATAATGGAGTTCGCCTCGGAGGGGGAATGAGGGATTTAAAGATGGGGTGGCATCAAGCTACGGAAATTATGAGACCTCAGTTGTAAAAGTGTCAAAAAGTCTCGGAAATGAGCCGAAGCCTCAGTCGAACATCACAGGACTGACCTCCACCTTTTCAGTAGGCGAGCATCCGCCGAGGATCCTGAGATGAGGCATGGTTCAAGCCCTCCATAAAGAGCTCGAGATCAACCCCATTTTAGACGGGGCGACCAACAGCCATAACGTCTACATACGCAACACACAGGCAGCCTTTGGGCGACCTTGGGCCGCTCATGTGAAGCAAACAGAAGTGGGGAGATAAGACGGGACCCTCAAGTACTATAAGGCTGCTAGGAAGAAGAAACGACTTCTGTTCGCCTCTGCCTCCGATTGACTGCGACAGAAAAACGTCAGTGCCTGATCTTATATGCGAGACGGGAAAAACGATGAGCAGGTATCTAGAGCAATTCATTCAGTGAGTTTCGAAAGAGCGGATGACCAAGAAATTAGATGAAGGGAGTTTGAGCCGAAATTTTTAGACTTATAGGTATAGGGATGATCTATATCGGAACTCAATTTTGCACCTTGGAATTTTAAGGTAGGAAAGCGAAAGTCTTTCAAATCTAATCATAACAGTCTTGTTGGTGGAGACAAATACCGTCATATAGCAGGTCAAAATCTGTGTTTGGAAACGCCTCTAAGACAGCCCGAACATATGTGACCATTTAAAGATTTAAGGGTAGGAGCAATACGAGATATAAATATCTAAAGCAGATGAATTTTTCTGGGGGAGGGACAGTGAAGTGTAATTTTCTGTCAGAATTGAAATTAATCTAGACGCAATGGGATACAAAAGGTGAGCCAGACGGTTGAGGCCTATCTTTAACGGGAAACAGCTTAGGACATTTAATTAGAATATTCGCAAAAGAAAAATCGTCAAGAATATTGAAGGAATCAAGATTGACGTTACCTAAAAGAGTGAGGGAGCGTAGGCCCAGGATATTAAAATGACCGTTTAAAGGTATGATTTCAACAGGGCAGTTAGTTTTTCGGAAATAACAACCAAAAAGCGGACTTACACACCCGCAGAGATTAAGGCCGGCGTATAACTACTAATAGGCATGCTGCTTATGATATTATTTAGCCACCACAGCGTGCACCTAACTGAACTACCTTCTACCAGGTCATCAGAATGCGAGAATGATGGCTTGAAGCACCTACATCAGTACTGATTGATCAAAATGGCGAATCCTCTACCTCTACTGCTTTTTAGAGACTTTATATAATTTTGAAAACTACAGAAAGACAAAAGAATAATCGATTACGAAATAATGTTAACTTTAAGCCTTTCGTTTGAAGACTAAACACTCACGTTTTGCTGCACTCTTTTGATGACAGGTGACAGTACATATCACCAGTCTGGACAAAAGTGGGACGACAGTTCATCAAAAAGGCCTTAAAGGTACGACGGCTTTTCCTGCTGAAGCTTGAGTGCGATTTGCAACCCGCGGCAGTATTTTACGTGTATGGCCATTTGTTGATCGGTAAAATTTGGAAGGGGCACCGAGAGTTCACAAATGTGACCTCTTGACCACAAATTATAGCTCTGTTCATCAAAAACAAAACTGGAAGAATTTGCCACCAGGTTCCGCGAGTAAATATGTCCTCCAAAACTGTGTCCACACTGTATGCTGAGAACCTGGCAAACGTCGAGTAAATACGTCTAGTAAAATAGGTAAAACTAGCACAAAGGCAGAAAAGTAGTCCAAGAGGGACGAAAAACGGGAAAAGAATGCTCGATTTCAAACGTTCGTGTTTCGAAATTTCCTGCAACAAATAGTGATAAGAAATGAGATAGATGAATCCTTCCAACGCATTTTCAAGGCTTCGCCCCCACATCTTCAAATATACTCAAGAGAAAGCCGACCACATATAGTCAGGGATTTCTATCATCGAAAAATTATGTTCAGCGAGCTCAAAACTGACGGTTATATCTGTTATTTACGGGAAGCTTCGTTTGGAAGGCAAAGCAGCCTTTTTTCAACCCCAACACTCCCACTTTCACCACATAAGTTGATTTCAAGGACTTGTGAATGCCTTGCAGTAGATGGTGGCGAGAACCGAGATGAATCAAAATTTCTAGTCCTAGAAGGATTCCGTCACTTTAACGTGTCCACCCCGTCAGTCATCTGAGGCGGTGTATCATGTATTTGCGAACGCCCTCTGAGGCAATCCGAACTAAGTGCATCCTCTCGTCATAATGCCAGTCACTGCTGAACTCATTTTGTGGACACAAGTGCCTGCACGTACATGTGTGGGTGCGTTCAAAGGGGGAGCTGTCAAAAAGTCTACCACAGTCTCAGCGTAGATTTGGACATGCTGAGGGGAGCAGGTGCTTGTCATCACCGCACACACACACACACGCACGCACAGTCACCGGGCTGATGACTCAACTTCATGAGAGCATCCACGCAGATTTCAGTGTTCTCACAATACCAGTAACCCCACTCTTCGTAACCCAGTTCCTCCTCATTTTCAGCCTTATGCCATTTGGCCTGGGATACATCGAAAACGTATGATGTCTGTGTCATCACTTCCTCACCCTCCCCCTCCCTTTGTGCATGCGACGACCTTGGGTAGACTGTTTTGGGTGTCTTTAATTTGCAAGAATTTGCATTGTAACCAGCCCAAATAAATTGATAGTAGCGTCTGTGGGCTATTCTGATTATAGAACGGTTGTGTTTTGCCTTGGAGTTCCAAACTAGGACCTTAGCATATGGTCCCATAGAGACGCGAAACCAGTAATAGGGTGGTGTGTCGACGACAAACGACAGTTATTTCATCTTAAACTATGATTTTCGCCCTGTGGCCCACGGAGTGCTGGCCGCAGGATGGTAACTTGCGCGCGCATTATTTTATGACGAGGCAGACTTTCGAAGCCTCTACCGCACCTCTTCCCCAACCCACCTTACTTCAATGGTAAGGCAATGTTGGGACGACCGGGGGTGGCCCGTCTACGTGTGCCGCACGCGATCAGACTCTCACGAGAACGGCGCGGGTTCAAGTAATTGGGGTACTGACAAACACGGCTTACAGGTCGAGCACATGTGTTTCAGTTAGTAGAACACGCGAAGGCAAATAGGTCATAACTAGCCACTTCAGGCTTTCAGGATCTGTCCTTGTTTTTACATTCTAAAGTGGAATTGCATAAATCCTCAACCAAGCATCTTTGAAGCTGCGAGGCAGTACCCTTATTCCATACAAATGAGTCGATAACAAATAGTCAATAAACAAACAAGCAAACGCAAACGTATGATTTTGTGAAGTACATTAAATATGTTTAATTTTGACTTCTTTGACAGATTTTAGGCTAGCTTTTCTTTAAATAAGAGTTAAAACAGAAATATTTTATGACGTGCACTATGAAACGTCTCTAATAACTAAACAAGACGCTAATTGTAAGTGGTATTCAAACTAACCAATTTTCAGGTTACCACTCGCTTAACTCAAATTGGCACGATGTTGATGTCGATACGTTCCAGTAAATCGAGTAGCTGTCCTTTGCTCCCCGAAGGTTTAAGGGCGTGTACAACGTGGTCAACTCAAGCTTCTGGTCGGACCACTAGTTAAAACTATAATTTACGGCTTCGGAATTACGGAGAAACAATAAAGGAGTGGGCGTCAAAATTAGTCAGGTCAGATTATAAAAATGAGATACTTCTTTATTTAAGTAATTATTGAATGATATATCATAAAAAACCTCGAGAAATTTGAGAACATAGAGGACGACACCGAAGACCACAGGGAAAACTGCCCGAGAAGGCCTTAAAAGAACCAACTCAAAACTTTGGCGGTATGCTCTGTTGTCAGACTAACTAACGGTTAGTTTGAAGGATTTGCTAAACACGGGTAACTGCGTACTGAATTAAGCAAAACAGTTGAAATTGATACGTGCATGACTATCCCTAATGGCCTTTTCCAACATGCGTTCGGATTTGGACATTTCACGGAATCTTCCGTGCTTTACTTAAAGAATTTTATCGGTGGAATGCTTATCTGCGTCCCAGTTGTATGAATAGTTAGTCGATCGTTTTTTCTCACTCTTACACATATTCAGAGCAAACCTAGAAATGAGTGAACCGCTGAAAAGATTGCTAGATCTTATGGCCTGTCCATCTGGCCATGGTGTGCTGAATACTGTAAGCGTCTAAACTACCTTTGTCCATCATTGGTTAAAGGACAGAATAGAAAGAATTTAGTCGCATCTGTCAATTCTGGCTCGGGTATTTTCCGCGATAACCCAAATGCAGTAGATAGAGCAGGCTACCAAAAGACGTCGCCGTCATAAATATGCTAGACTGAACTACTAACCGCTATCAGCCGGCCATACTCCATCAGGATATGTCGGTGAGTGCCAGTCTCATCTAACTTATTATTCTTGAGTCTATTTATTAGTCCCTCGAATTACATAAACGTGCATGAGGTAAATGAGTTAGAGAGGCCGACTCAGACAAGCGATAATTATTGGACATGCTTGGGAGCCTGTAAGCATCAGAAATAGACGAGGTTCCACCATTGTAGTCCTTTAGGCTACTGTAAGAGTAGGAATTGACTACGACCTCAAATATTTGCTTTTATTTGTTAACATAGACAGGGCCAATCGCCAAACGATCGGATTAAGCTGTCTCGGACCGATAAAAAATAGATAATGAACGCATAATATCAGACCAAGCCGTCTTTCTTTTCACTCTTGTTCCCGGTCAAATTTTGGGGAGCACTTTGATGAAAGCCCAAATTCCAGTCTATAAAACGTAAGTTTTTCCACATCCCCGTGAAACTCGGCTCCTTCCTAATGTTCTACAAGCGCCGTTTACATAAGTCAAAACCAACGAGCGCTGCAGAAGTATTGGGTCGTCCCATATGTTCGTACGCTTTTTAATTATCCAACATTTTATGATGTCAAAATCTGTTTGATGTGTTCATATCGTAGGTGATCTTGTTCCTCTATCTAAGCGGTTACAGAATTTATTCATAATTTTTGGTTTGAGTTAATTGTCAATAATTTACAATCCAAAGAAAATGGAGTGTCAAGCCGGAAAATGACAAACATTTCCGACATATTTGGTTCGAGTTTGTTTGCGCCTCATTATTGGATCGACATCGTCTCCCCCGCCAAAATGTAGAACCTTTTTGAGGCTTATTATTGGCGACGAATAACGGTGCTTTTACGTGAATATGAAGCAAAGTAAAGAATAGATATGCCCATCAAGAAAGCAACGCTTAGAACCAAACTTCATTTTTCTCACAAGGGGATGCTGTTTGTCTGGTGGGATATGGAGGATTTATCTACTATGAATTTATTGATAGGAACCAGACAATTAATGCAGAGCTTTACAGTCAACAGCCTCGCCGTCCAGACGAAGCACCTCAATAAAAAAGCCCAAATCGCCGAAATGGTGCATTTTGCAGCCTAGCCACACCAGGCACATGTCCCAAAATTCACTAAAAATGTCACTGAAACACTTGGCTGGGAGGTTCGTTCGCGCCTGCCATATTCTCCGGACCGTGCTCCATCGAATTATTATCTTCTTTGGCTACTCGGAACAATTTGGTCGGAGTATCCTTCGATAGCGACGCGGATCTTCAAAATTGGATAGATGGCTTTTTTGAGTGAAAACCCGCAGATTTCTTCAAGCGCGGGATTGAAAGCTGCCTGAATATTATGATTTGGTTGTGAAAAACAAAGGAGAATATATAACTGATTAATTCTGTGAAAGACATACAAGAATATGATTGCATTTTAAATAATCGGAAAACGTACAAACTTATGTACAACGCAATACAAAAAGGCAGCCCGTTAGGAGTCAACGAATTAACGCCTCTATGAAAGGAGCTCAACCGGTCCAAGTTCTATTTCATGGTACCTGTTGGAGAAAGATGGAAAAAGGAAATCGAAAATGTTCTTCCCACAGATGTCAACTTAATCGCCAATCAAGAAGCAACCACAATTGACCTTTACAGTTTATCTTGCCTTTCTCAGTAAAAATTATGGAAAAATACTCTACCATCAGGGAAGATATGAAGAATACGTTTATTTTCGCAGATTACGTCGCATCTAATAAGCTTGAATACAAGTTCGTTTGTTATAGCTGGGCAAGGCATTCAGCTGCCCATCTCTACTTGCCTGTTTGAACTGCCCAAAATGACCACCGTGGAAAACGAAGATGTTCACCACTGCTCCACGAAATGGTCCCATTTGAGGTGACTTGCGCGTGAACAGTTTGACAGTGAAGAAGACATGTACCACAGTTATCTCACTCACACATCTAAACACCCCGTCTACACGTGCCGAATTCGGCCTGAACTTCCAGGCAACATTACGGGCTGTCCGGATCTCGAATAAGTGAACGTGTCATTATGGTCACAGTAAGGAAGAGCCATGGAAGCCCGAACCTCGGTTTTGAGTACGGCCCGGTTACCATGTCCGTTGGCAAGCTCCTAAGCCACTGATCTTAGCTCGTTGTGAAAGATTCAAGCGTGTCATATGTAGTCGAGTAAGGAATGCGTCGATGCTCCATGGGATGGATTCCCCATGTCAACCCTGCTTCCTCTTCCAAGCGCCAATCGACTGCCTGAGCCTGATGCCCAACTGGTGATGAGACTGACAAATCTGAAACGTCCAAGTTTGTCACACACGACCTGGTCCCTAGTTAATAGAGCTGGATACACCGTTGGACATGCATCGCACTTAAGTGAGATGTGTACGTTATGACATACAGTCAGTAGCCGATCTCATGAAATAAATTTGCGGTTAGGAAGGGTTGCTTAAATGGAGCTGAATTATTGATTATCGTGCGGGATAATCCCATGATGTTTCAGACACGCTAAGATGTTGGCTTTTGAATGCACTACTGGTCGACCAACTGTAAAAAGCCCGCCCGGTAAAAAAACGACCATTTATTTAGCATGCATTGTTCTACTGATTTTCGATGTCCATAAAAACTAAGATATATTTAACTAAAAAGCTAGCCGAAAATATCCTCGTTTATACTCACTTGATAGCAAATTACATCTTCTTCAAGCAATGTGCTCGAAGGTAGGTTATCGTTCGATTTTAAAAACTTTCTAACTCTGAGAATTTTCAAGACCGTGCAATGTCAATTCAAATACCATCGTATCGATTCATTTATTAATGCTCCTCGCAAAGTATACATCACAGTCCACGCTTACTGCAAAATTTTCTGAGTACCATATGGTATGTTTTTAATGACATAGAAGAATGCATGATGCTCCTTACACGGAATGCATACAGCATGTAGATTGAAAATCTAAGACGCAAATGTAACGGACGATCAGATACAAAGGTATTCAGGAAGTGAAAAACTTTAAACCGAAATATACTCTTCCTTCAAGCACATGGGTTTTGAAGACGTACTTTGTTACCGAATTAGTGCGAAAGGAATGTTTTGGTTATGTTTTCTGTAAAATATGTTCAAATTTATGAGGGTATCGAAATCAAAGGAAAAATGTACACTCTCTAAGCAATCGTTTTTTGCTGAATGCGAATTTTTCAGGCGACAGATAAGAAATTCATTCAAAGGTCAGAATTCTTGCGTGCCTGAAACATTACGAGATCGCGCTGCATGATACTCGTTAATTGGACTCCACTTAAGTAATCCTTCGTAGTCGACACTGCATTTCAAAATTTTAGGCAACATATCATGAAGCTAGATACTGACGCCTCGCCCGTCTTGTCGATGCCGGCAGAAGTGAAGACTGGTGTGTTGCGAAGAGTTGCCGCACACGCGCGCATTTTGGATTAGGTTCATCCGTAACCTATGGGTGCATACGTGCAGATAGGAAGAGATGTTGTGATGGGGTCTGGACAGTGATGTCTTGCTGAAGATTTTTATAGGGCGCATACCATTGGCCAGGTCCACGCAATGACTGCATGTCCTGGGGCAGCGTGAGCAGGTGAGGCATGCGTAACGAGTGTGTGCCGGGGCTCCTGGCACTGGCTCTCTGGCCATGGCGCGGTTGATTCGCAAATGGCCGGCCAAACCAGGAGTGGTCCGACGATGCGGCCGCGCTGGGGCAGGCTGAAGCCCCGTCCACACTCCCGGTGGGAGGGGGCGATGGTGATGATGCTGGTGTTTTGTGGGATAGAAGGTGAATTGGTCCCGTTGAAGTTGCACTAGGGTCAGAAATGTTCTACGAGGCCAACCTTTGCGCCGAATGTTCATCGAGTGCGTTGACATGTTGAGTGGTTTTGAGTGTTTACAACATTTCCTCATGATATTCAAGACTTGCGTGCCTTCGTTTGGCCTTTGGCCTCGTGTATGCAAAGGGTCTTGCAGATTGCTTCTCTACCCCTTACGGCAGTGAGCCCGGTCTTGCAATCTTGAAAGACTGCTTTGCAGGGGCTTGTCTGAAGTCTCCAGGATGTTCTTGGAGTGAAAACTTTGTCCGCCCTGTCTACGAGCGGCCTTAGTGTTGCCACTGCGGCTTGAATGCCCGCTCGTCATCCGTTACCAAGAGATGGCCGCTTCATTGTCGTTGCACCTGCCTCGGTATGACGCAGGTACTGGGAGCTCCTGTTCTTTCCTGGATCTGGCATCCTCTCTTTCCCGTATTCTGTGAAGGCAGTTAAGGTTAAAGCAGTTTGGTCTTCCTGCCTGGCTTTCGTACACAGCCCAAGCCTCCGGTCTGTAAATGACCACCGTCAGTACTATGGTTTGGCGTATCCTCAGTTTTTATGTTGAGGAGGATGTTGAGACGTTTCCAGACGGAATGCTGTAGTCAACCGAAGGTTTGGCTGACTTTACAGATCTGACTTGCAAATTGGTTATTGATCTCGCCATTTTTTCAACACTGTACTCACCAGGCATTTAAAACTGTCAACTAGTGCAAAACGAGTTCAATTGGTATTTGTATGGCTTTATTGCAATCAGCATTTTGAACCGACTGTTGCATAATTTCTGCCTTCTCCAGGCTGCCTACCAGTCCGAGGTTGGAGTAGCTGGAGTCAAAGAAATCCACACGAAGCTGCTCATCTTCTTCCATTATGGTGTTTAACGTGCAATCACCGAGAAGAAACACTTCTCATCGCAGACAGCATAGTTTTCGAGTTCTTGTGCCTAAGAATCAGTCAGTTCTTCTGCATCTTCCCCAGCCTCCGGTGAACTAGGTTTCCGGACGAGAAGTGTGCCGCACTGTTAGCCTGGGTTGTCTTGCTGACGTAGGTTGTTTGTGGCCTGTTCTTCTCCGTCAGCAGATTGCGTACTTGTATGTCCTTGTTATCAAGCTCATTCTGGTGCTGACGGCCCCAGAGCGGAGGCATGGATGACGTCGTACAGTTCCTTTCACTCCGTTAAAACAGAGGCGTTATTTCAGACGGAGATACAGGCAATCACTAAAATTTAATCGATATTCGATCGTGTCCATCAGTACAGTAGTTCACTTGTTAATCGCCATTTTCCTGCTTTCGATTTACATGGCTTTTGCTTAAACTGCATATCAGTCGAACTTTTTTACTCGCTATATACTGATTTTTACTATCTTTTTGTTCGGACTACGATCATAAGGTCATATGTTTATCAAGCTTACGCCTTGTCGAAGGAAAAAAATCTGCCATAACTTTTGCACCGAATTCACCAAATATTGTCAATGATAATAATAATGCGGTTTACGGTTGATATGTCTCGTTATTAATCCTCCAGTGCTATTTATATCGCATACCCAAAGTTACTCACAGTAAGTGGAAGGTGTTTTGCTGAAGATTTTGAAAGATACCTTCGAAATTAAGCGTATTTCTCCCTTTCTCTATGTTCCTTAAGGTCACCTTGGGGATTACATTCGAAGCCTCATCTTGAAGATGATAAGGCGGCTGTCCATCCAGCAATCTGCACCACACATCGATTTGATCACTATTACATCACGCTGATATTGCCCCATGACAAAGACATGGCCGACCACTCGCGCGGGGGCGCATCTACGTCGCCTTCTCCCGGATCGGGGGGCGTGCGGTGTTAGTCCGGGAAAGGCTGTGTTCCGCCCAGGTCTGCAGGACGCGAAGGCTATTGCTACTGCAGCAGCCGGCCCGTGACGACCAAACACTCCGTTTCAGGTGGCATGATCTGTGCCGACACAAGCATCTAAATCGCCACGGAAAACAAATTTGCTCACCTTCGACAGCGTCGCGAGGAGGACGTGCAGGCCTTCATAGAACTTGTCCTTCAAGTCGTCGAAGCTGGTCATCGAGAGGGGGAGGTTGTTGCAGGCACCGACGACGGTGGAAAGTTCCTTCCCTCGGAATTGCAGCCTCATGATCAAGAGCCGATAGCTGATGGCCTGCGACAGGACAGCCGTCCCACGATATCGTTCTTGATAGTGTAAGCGACTCTGCCGTCTCATCGCTCTGCTTCTTGACGTTTACCACAGAAGGAGATGCGGTCCGCACCCACCTCCTTCAGTTGTCCTTGTTCAGGGAAGCGGGTCTCACAGACAGTCACAGTGTCCACTTTGACGGACCATTTCTCAGGCGACCAGAGCTGTCCTACTTTCCGGTTGGCTGGCCATTGGACTGTCTAGAAGTAAACAAACATTCTAGACTGGCAGAGTGAGCAGCGTCACATTGGCAGATTGTGGGGAGACAGGGGATGGAAACATGGGTGATTGCGTTATGTAATATATATATATATATATATATATATATATATATATTCGCCCAGGAAAGGGCGCATACCGACCCATTGGCTTCTTGAAACAGACACACTTCGTATGGGTGATACGGGTCACAAACAGGCAACCACCTACTGGGTCCAAGCCGACCAAGCTGTCATAGAAGAGGGAAGACGATAGAATCTGGGGGGTAGATTGATAGAGAACTGTTTCGGGCTTGTTTGCCTTCATTCAGATAATCATAACCCTGACCACCAGCTGGGATCGGAAACACACAAAACGCGCTCACACACCTGGCGCAGGTAGTTCACCACTGGGGTCTACCACATGGGTCATAAGTACTTTATCGAACCGCAGTTCATCAGTGCCTCGCCACCTGCCATTCTCTGTCGCTGCAGATCGGGTATTTATTTACTCAGGAATGGGCACACATCGATCCGCTGGTTGAGCTCGAGAGAGAACCCTAGGGCACAACGCGACGAGTGAGTTCCTTAAAAAACGACCGGTGAGGGCCCATCTACCATTATATAGTCCCGATCGCGACCGCAGGACAACAAGCCCGTGGTTAAGTGATTAGGGACGTTTGGCTTCTAACTAACAGGTCCCCCCCCTGATATGACACCCGAGTACAGTTAGAAGTAGTCAGTTTATTTCTGGTATTGAAATTGCAATCTGAAATAAGTTACATAGAGACATAAAAATTCTGCAAAATCACACTTTGTTTAAACGAGCTATCATTTAGATTTTGCATTCAGAAGAACTTCCACGATTACCGGGTGCCTAATAGACCGAACTCATCCTTGAAGTGATGCGTCCATGGTCTTTAAGCTCTGTCTGGTCTTATCTCGAGGGTAATGGCGCTGACCGTGTAACCCATCACCAAGAAAGTGAATTATTCAGCCGACAGTTAGCAACTGTTCAACGTTGTATCCTTGTCTGGTGCATAGTCCCTTTTACATGAAAAGGAATAGAGACTGAAAAATTCCGCTATATTCGTGCTGACTATCCTTGTTCTGGACTGCCGTCATTTCGCGGGCTGACGTTATTTTTCCTGAATGACCTCGGTCTCTTAAAACCCACGTAACTGTACAAGAGTTGTTTTCCACTGCTTGATCGTTCTGGACTGTATATTTATTATGATAATGCCCGAGAACTAGTACTCAGTGTTACTACTACTATTATTATTATTATTATTATTATTCCATACTAACGAAATACACTGGAGTATATGACTTCGTTACGTTGGGAGGCGCCCTAAATTAGCCTGGGCAGTCTGTGTGATTACATGTAGTCCCCCCTGTAGAGTTTTGGTTTGAGGGTTGGGAGGAGTAGTGAAAACTGGTTGAGGGATTACGGGACATAAATGTACACATACGTCGGACACCCTTGTTTGGTTTAATCAGCCGGCCAGGGCCGGTACCGGTACGGGGTCACCGTGCTGTGAACGTCCTCGGGTAGCCTCAGGTGAGAACTGGGAGGAGAGTGAGAGGGTATAAAATATCAACCGAATCCAGTGTATTGCTCATAAGTGCTTGCTTCGACCGCTGTCGTGTCTCATCTATCCGGTCTATAGCGTCAGGTCCATGGTACCCCTTTATGTGTACTAGTAGTTGTCAGTGTATCAGCAGCGGATACCTCCAACAGGGGAGGGGAGCGGCGGCAGGATCATATCCAGTCTCGCGCCGCGCCAACTGGGACCCGAGCCATCCAATTTTTTTGCTAGAGCATAAAATCTTCGTCAGTGTCAGTTGTGAACCAGGGGGTATGGTGGTACGCCTGGGTGCGAGGCCCCGCCGCGCCAGTCACGTGCAACCTCTACCGCCTCCGGTCTTTTTGACTCTGTCTTGACACGGGCTCTAAATGGGGGAGGGGTGAGCGCAGTAGGTGCTCCTCAAGTCTGCTATCACTATAAACTGGTTCACGTGCAAGTCACCGTCCCTACCCTCGCATTGTTGTGGAGCACACAGTGGACATTGTCGGCAGTGAAAGTCGAACCTTCAGTGGGGGTGCCGTCGTGCCATGACCATGCAGCTGTGTTAACGAACTGGAGATGGCTCTCAAGCTGTAACGTGGGTCATCGCCCACAACGTCAGCAGCCCACTAGTTGGCACGGATGCAGTTTCACTTGGAAAATCAAACGGTGCTACTAAATAGGGTTAAGAGGTCACTACATTTTGCACAGCATTCTCAGTAGGATTTTCGTCCTGGGAATCAACCAGAATATTGAGGCTCTTAAAAACTGAACACATTGGATGCAAGATGACTGCAGATAACTCTGGACTTGTAATGGCCTAGCCAGCAACAAAACGACATGCAGTTTCCAGCGGCATTGCCATAAAACATTTGACACCCTGAGAATTTTCGACAATGGGAAACAGAGCAGACACCGACACCCCTAGAATTTCGCTCATCAGACAGTCACTTTTTGTGGAATGAATTTTAAGTAAACAACGACGACATACTTTCGCGGGGCACTGCTTTGAAGTAACACAGTGTTAGGGACACAAAAAGTTCGAAATGGGTCAAGTTAGTGGGCCTAGTAAGAGCAAGATCTTTGAGTATGTACACATCTTGGACCACAATTTTACTGATTTAGAGACAAATCGAAGATGTCATTTCGGCCGTCGTTACCGACTATGTCCACCGTGTGCCCCACGGCAGGGCGGACGCAGCGAGGGTGATTTGTGCGTGAATTAGTTTACATTGATGCTGGACCTCACTGTCCCTTCCCTCTCTCAGGCACCATTCCACCGTTCGAACCGGTCAGTCAACTGACACGAGAATCGGACGCAACGACTGATAGGCCTAAGGGATCTGACTGCAAGTGCGTCACACACGACCTGACTCCTACACGCAACTTCACACAAATGGATCGGGCGACTCGGTGCTCACATGCATGAGAGTGTCATAGAGGCCGCATTAAGAAGGAGCAATTGCGACCTTGCCCTCAGTCTATAAGCCGTCCACGCTACACAAACACACTGCGAGGTCTGAGCTGAATCGTCAGTTGGCAGCCCTCCAAGCCACGGCTTTTAGCGTACCGTGACAGTGTCAAGCGTGTCGGATGGTTTGCAGTGAGGAAACGCTCTGAGTATCGACCCCACTCTCTCTTCGCCTTTTCATGCACCAGTCAATTGCCGGGGCCAGTAAACCAACTGCTGTTGAGATTGGGCGCAGTGACTGGCAGAACTCAAAACGACCTATCTGCACCTGCTGCGCACGTGACCTGGGCCCCCACAACATACCAGGAGTTCACACGAAAGGGCTTGGCTGCTCGGATCTCGCATGCGTCCGAGTAGCATAAGTGCCACATGGAGAAGGATCCAAAGATCACGACTCCCACTTGCGCGCCAGGTGCCCAATCCATGCTTGTGGTGTGTGCTGAGGGACGGGTTCATATTGAATGTACTGGTGCAGAGATATGTATTTGGTGATGGGATTTGATCGGCGGTGTTTTACCACAGGCTATCGTGTATGCGCATGCGGCCAAGTTTGAGTGGGTAGTGTGGGCAGTTGAGGCGAGTGCGGTGGGTGTATGTTGATTGGGCTCTAAGAACTGGGTGTGTATCTTACGCCACGCTACAGTAAACCATGGCCCTCGCAGCCTGGTGTGTGTTGGCAGTTCTCTGGCACCTGACCCCCTGCTGATGGAGGCGTTTGCGCCCCCGGTGGGTATACAGGCCGTGTGCATGTTTGCCCAATGTCTTGTGTCACCCCCCTCTTTCTGACCCACTTTTGTCGTTGGTTTAAATCCTGGTCAAGTGTTTGTTGTGGACCAGGGGGTGTGGTGGTATGCCTAGGCGCAGGACTGGCTGTCCCAGCCACCCGCGCCCTCTACCGCCTCCGGCCTTTTCGACTTTGTCTTGACACTGGGCTCAGGTGGAGGAGGGGAGAGTGCGGTGGGCGCAGCAAATGTCTGTCCTCACTATAAACTAATTCACGCACAGGTCACCATCCCTGCTCTCACCTTACAGTGAGTGCCTGATCGCATGAAATGTTGGCTGAAATTCTGAAATGCGTTTTCGATTAGAAAGGATTACTTAGACGCGGTTGTAATAATGATAAGTATGCGGCATAATCCCGTAATATTTCGGACTCGGCAGGATGTCAGCTCTTGAATGCACCGCTTTTCAATCTCCTGTAGTAACCACTGATTTTCGATGGTCTTCCCAATCCGAATATATTTTATAGAAATCCCGAACAAAATATGCTTTCCTTCAGTCGTTTGATAGAGAATAACGTAATCTTTATATTTTATACTCGAAGGAGTATACTTAGGTCTTAAATTGTTTTATAATTCCCGAATCATTTGCAGCCTGATCAGTCCTTTTATTAGCGCTTAGAGATTTCAGTCTACAAATTATATGCGCTCCACGTAAAAAAATTACATATTCTTCTATGCCTTTAAAAATATATCACAAAGATTCCATAAAATTTTACAATAGATGCGGATTATGTTGTACTTTTCATGAGGAGCGGTGGTAAACGGACCGGTACGAGGCTATATGAATCGACATTGCGCGGTCTTAAAAAATCTCATAATTAGAAACTTTCTTAAAACCTAACTATACTCCTTCTTCGAATATAAAATATAAAGACGACGTGATTCTCTATCAACCGACTGAAGGAAGGCCTATTTTATTTGGAGTTTCTATAAAATATATTTGGATTTTCATGACCGTCGAAAATCAATGAGAAAAATGCATGCTACTTAAATAGGCATTTTTGTCGAGTTCGGTTTCTACATAAGTTTGAAAAGCAGTGCATTCAAGAGCCGACATCCTTCCGAGTCCGAAATATTACAGGATTATGCCGCATACTTATCATTATTTCAACCGCGTATAAGTAGTCCTTTCCAATCGAAAACGCATTTCAGAATTTCAGCTTGCATTTGACGAGCTCGGTCACTCATCGTACTGTGGAGCGCACAGCGGACATTGTCGGCGGCGCCGGTCGAAATGTCGGGTGTATGTTGGTACCCCAGATATTGATTCGACAAGCTCTGTGCGATGAATCGACAAGTGACCCATCAGAGTGATGCGTAATGTGCATGTGCGGTGGCAATGTGGACAGAATAGACTGGGGACTGCTGAGTTGCTTTCAGTGGTGATGCTGCAAGTGCTGGCTGAGCTGGCGGAGGGAGAGTCGGTAACGCTGGAGATGGGGGAGCTTTCGGATGTACATGACAAATCCCAAAGCGGACGCCAAGAATATATTTCCGGGCAAATTAAATACTCGAATGGAAGAACTTCTGGGTACTGGTATCTCACACACAAATGTGTCCAATTTTGCGGCGTGGAGTTGAGGGGGAAGAATAAATAACATGAAATGACGGGTCACATGATAAATTTGAAAGCTTTGATATTCAGAGAGAGGCAACTGATCCATCCGTCTTTCCTGCCGAGAGAGTTCCAAAGGTATTAAGAGAGATTGGGGGTAATTCTATCGCGTATGCCTAATTCCCAAACAGCAAGCAGTGTTACACCACCGCGCTTGCCGTCACAAATGAACTTTTAAAAATTCGTCATCACAGAGTAAAACAAAGCCACTTTTGAACAGTGGTTAACTTTTGAAAATACTATTTGAAGCTCTATCGTTCATCCCATCTCTAACGAAATCAACCCAAACAGAATATTTATCCCCGTTTGCACCTGTAGTCAGTGGACGAAATGAAATAACCCCGAGAAAGAAGACACTTCTGAGATGTGGGACCCGATAGTCTATCTTAATGTTTCATGTTCAAATCGAGTGTTATCATTATCAAAGGCGGTAAATTCCAAACAGATGGCAAGGTATCTTTTAATCCGCGAGCAAGCGTCATTAACTGCTTTTAATGTTAGTTTGCAAAGTATACGTTTCCCGTGACTCCTAGTAAGGCATGCGGGATACTTGTGTAATGAGATTATCGGATAACCACACGTCAAGTGTTTGGTCAGCTGCACCCATATTGGCTGCTGAGTCTGCAGGAGAGGCTTTTGGCTTTAGTGCAGTATACATCTGGCAAAACTCACCCGTCGGAATTCGCTCCGGTCGTTCGTTCCCCTTCAACGGCCGCCTTATCGGCATCTGTACATCCGGACGGAGTTTTACGCCTTGAGAAACACGAACGGTAGCTTTGGAAAGTAAGCGATCCTGTGCCTGAAAATCATGAATCCAACACCACTCAACGTCCGTCTTAGATAGCAACAGACTAGACTTCGTTAAGGATGAATGTATGCCAGAGCCAGGTAACGAACAAATCGTGATTTGACGGTTTTCGCCACCGCTGCTGCCGAAGCATCAATCCTGCTGTTTTCATCGCCAATAAATTAAACCAGGAAATAGGCCCTGTCTTCTCCTTTCATGAAAATGGACTGCGAATTTTGCCTTATCGTGTTTGATGGTTGCCCCCAGTCTGTATGTGGTGTAAGTTTTAGTCTGTGTTTGACTGCGAGCTTCAAAGTGCGAGTCCCCTAAACGCCGATTGTCGGTGAGGGTGTGTGTGTGAGAGAGAACGGGCAATTACGGCGCCTGCTGGACGGTTGTTTGTCTGGGAACTTTGCTTCCTCTAATTTCCGCGGTGGTTGGGAAGGGAGACAATGATTGTCCTTATCGAATAATTGTCAGAAAAAGCAGACCCCAAACGCAAGAATGAAATATAGGTAAAATGGAGACGGCGTGCTCAGGGGAAGGATCCCACACTTACCTGGATTTCATTCTGGCATCTGGGGTCTGCTTTTTGTGGTAAGTATTCGATAAGGACAATCATCGTCCCCCTTCCCCACCACCACGGAAACTAGAGGAAGCAAGCTCCCAGACAAAAAACCGTCCAGCATGCGCCCTAATTTCCCGTTCTCTCTCTCCTTAGCCCTCACTGAGAATCAGCCTTTAGGGGGCCAGAAACGATGATGGGCTAATACCAGCGCAAGCGAAAGGCCGCAGGAGCACCTGCGATAGGCTGGAAGGACTTGCTGCTCAATGCTCCGACGCAATAACTGACAAATTCCGAGAGGGAGGAAGTAGGGCTAGTAAAGACGGGATGATGATCACGGCGAAGAGGTCTGTTGGAGTTTCAGAGGTGAGCGTAGCTGCCCCATGGCTGACACTTCCTGATGGCTCAAAGTAATCCAGCCAACTCGACATCATTTTCCGTTTTCACCTACCCGCCTCTTCATCGCCTTGCCTTCACGCATCCTCTTTTTTTCGTCTGCTCTTAACGCCTCATCTATCGCCCCCGCCCCCCCCCCCAATCTCCAGCCGATAGATAGACAGCATGTTCGACAGACTGAGCGCTTCATTAGGCCGCTGCGTGTTGTGTGCGTCGTCGCGACCTGATTTACGCACCGCTCTTCCGCTCTTCGCTCACCTCGTCCCCTAGAGGAGTTTAGAACAAAGCAACGGGAAGTAGGAGGGGTGAAGAGCTAGATCGAAGTTTTTGCGACTAGGCAACAACGAGGCAGTAGGGCCGCGAAGGCGAATGGACAAGATTATAATTGTCAGCCCAATCAGGCAACCCAGACAGAAAAGGTGGCAGAGGCAGTGAGCAGTATCGAGATGCGACGAGGCCAAAGGGTCAACCAATCAGTCTGCAATCAGTCTGTTGGTAGTATGCTGGACTCGTTAGAGGGAGACTCCACTCCTAGTGTCTTATTCGTCCCCCCTTTTCTGGATGCCTTATCAGCCACTTATTAAATAGGCGGCTATCATTGCAATTTGTCGAGGATCAAACTCAACTCTCAAGACCCCCGGATTGTAGAAAGATCGCCGGAATACTACGGAACTTCTTACCTGAGTTAAAAGCTCCACGTTTGTATCCCCCCCCCTTGGTTTATTACGCACTTGATCATTGTATCGTAAGCGTTTTAGCCTGGGGGGCATGCCATGTGGGACAGAATCTTATCGCGGAGTACTATTTAAATTCGAAACCCAAAAACATACCGTGCCCCACCTCCTTCGATTTGGGTTGATTACCGGCCGGTGGGGAATGTATATGAGCACCTGCCTTGGACCATCTTCCTAAAAAATGCCTTTTAGTACCTTAAAACAAGCATGGAGCGTAAATAAAACTGTCCTCCTCTTATAAATTTGAGAACACCACGTTTACTCTTCTAAAAGCGCTCTCAACGAAGGTGCTGTGTTACGCGTGGTCCTGCGCCATTGTTCAGGGGGAAAATGCACACAACCGTTTCTGACCCAGGTGCCTGTGACCACTCACGTACCAGCCAACGAGACAATAACAGACAGCCGTGGCACGGATATAGCAGATAACGCCGGCGTACTTAGTCTTTATTAAAGTAGACTACCATACAACGAATTTCGGTAAAAATGACCAAGCTCTAGATCCCTTTTGCAGCGCACAGTTTGCCATTCATCGTTATTGCCGCTATTGAGGAGATGATTCGTACATTTACGTGAGGTGTACCGAGAATGCCAATCAAACTAAAAGAGTTATTTGTCTCTAATTTGATAGTTTCAATCGGCCTCACCTGAGTACCAGCCTCTCAAGAGTCAAGAAGCTAGTCCGCGTCAGTCGCTTCGAGACGAACCCTTCTCAAAGTATCAATTTGGGAGTTCACGCTCTGTTAGCCTCCAGGAATATCTTACGTTCGCAAAGGCTACATACTTATAAGTGGTCGCGCATATTAACCCTCTGCCGGCTTACAACGTCCTACGCCATTACCCACACAAATACCAGGACAATATGACTGTCTTAGACTTAAGAAAGCTGGCTAAATCATGCCCGACAACGAACTGCCCGGGCAAGGAACCGGGGGAATCCCCAGACCAAATGAGACCCACAGATACTCAAGTGTTCTCCACCGACATGATCAGTAAGAGCACAGTCGATTGTCAAACCCTCTAGACACCCGCCATACCTTCGAGAAAACGAAGGAAGGAGAGAATTGTCTAACTCAAGGCTGAATAGGTCGGTAAGGCATTTGACTTACTATTCGATCCCGTGCGTTTACCGCTTTGGTAGTGGTGGGCCGACCAAGCTATTCAAGACTTCAGCACTATAATAACTATGATCTGGCGAACAACTTTTCCTTTCCAAAATTAACGCCCAAAAACTCTTACCTTTGCCATCCCGAACCTCCCTTGATTTTAGGTCGAAAGGTGCACATTAAAGCACCTTCAGTAACTATGCCTGAATTCAGGTTCTGGTCATGAAGGTGTAAAATTCCGTGGTCCACTGCTAAAGCAGTGAACTTAAAGCTTTATAGTCAAAACATCTGGGATCAAATCCCAGGTTATTCAAAACTGAACTTGGGTATGGCTGATTGACGACGCCGATAAGCCGCAAATTGCTGCCTCAGTCGGCTCCTTTATATTCATTTCGCAGCACTGAATCTATGGGTGATCTATACTCAACCTACTTACCAGCGTCCTTTTATTTTGTTTCCATAAAGACTCAGGTCAGGGTTATCATGGGCGTATCCCATTATCTTCAGTTGTACCGAATAAAAATTCCAAAATCAAGCAGTGATCTAAATCTCTGCACAGATTTATCCATCTACCCTTTGAAACAGGAGAGAAAAATTTATGTTCCCCATCATTCTCATTCCTACTTCATTTTGACTAGATCATATGGCAAAACGCCCATTATCCAATACAAGTTGTCCTTCAATATCCTTTCGACTGGAATCAAGCAGCCTTGATGTGGAACATGTAGCTTTAGGGCTTGCGCGACCGACAGCTAAGAATAACATACTGTCTGGGGTCTGTGCCTGCGAAGGCCGCCATGGGGAATATCAGAGGCAGGGAATACACACCAGGGTTTTTCTGTTCGTCCGAACTCACGCTGTTTTGTATTAAAACTAGACCCACTTGGTGTTATCCCGCTCTGAGGAGCGTGGACACAAAAGACGGTGGTTTGGTTCCAACCGGTGTGCATATGCCATCGTACTAATTAGCTCGCAGTTCCGATCGACGCGTTGTTTTAGCGTTTCTCAACGCTGATATGGAGTTTAGTTTTATAATGAACCATAACTGTTTGGCACCAGTGGCTCAATGAGAGCATAAAGCGCATTCACCGCCATTTCTCGGAACAGCAAACGTGTGACACATGTTATGACACTATCCTATATCGGTTTGCTTAAAATGCTGATTGCTTACCTGCATAATGAAAATATTCGAAAAATGAATTTCTTTACTTCCAACTTTCTCTTTCCGAACATTTACACGTTGGAGGCGGCATATTCAATTTACTTCAATGAGGTCGTCAGCAGGAACTTTGGGTTTGATTATCAGCGTTGACCTACCAGAAATTATTGTGCTTTTTCGATGTTGTAGAAGTCATCATTGCTTATAGTCTACAAGCAAGTTATATTTACGTACATCTTAAGGTCAAAAGTCGACTTTACAAACCGACTGCCCACACAGGCTTCCATTTTTGCCAATGGTTTTGAGGATGCGCCTCCTGTAATGGAAGAGGGCGCCTAGTCTGGTTACTTAGCTTTGACCCCATAGTCCCCTGTCGGGACTCCCTTGTGAGACGGACGTGTCATCATGGTGACGACTCTGAAGTCCCTTGTTCTAACTGGGACATGGCGTGGTAAAATTACGGTTGTTATTGGGACAAGGAGCAGGGATAGGGTGGACACTGCGGGTCGACATATTCGCTCGAAGAAATTATGATAGAATCAAACGTCGAGGGGGTTGCTTTCATTAACGCCCTTAGTATCCGCAGCAGAGGACATTTAAATGTTGTTTTAAAAGGATCTGTTCCACCAGAAGTGACCTACTTCATTAAAAATTCCCTATAGCCCAAAAAATGACCCGGAAATAGCCGATGAAACCTCAGTTTAGAAAAGAACGATCGTCGAATAAGCAAAAACTCACAGGAAGTACTGAAACGAGCATTAATGTCGATTGAAATAAGGGATATTTTAGGAGAAGGTAAGTGGCAAAACTTGAATATTCGCGTCAGATGGGTAAACCTAGTTTTTAGGAGTGCACAATCAACATCCATGCAATCAGCTTAGTAACTTTAAGCACAATAAGCTTGAAAAATCCATCTAGATAGTACTTAGGTGGGATATCCGCCTAGAACTACCGTAATGTGTAGTATAATCCGACCCTAACTCCAGTCTTCTTAATTCAGATTTGACAACAGACCCAAATGAGAGAAAATGTGAGAGTGTGGTAGGATGCATCGAAAGTCTAGTGTCGCTATAAACTAATTCACATCTAAGTCCCTTGCCCCGCGTTCATCCGGATGTGGGGCAGACGGTGTTACCGTCGGTAACAACGGTCGGACTGTCATGGCAGCCTGTCAACTGCCGTCATACAAACCAGACTTTTCATCAAAGAAAGGGTCCCGTTCTTCCAAAATAATGTGCTCGTTTGTATTACACCTGGTCGCATTTTTGATGAATGAAAACTAGGTTGTAAGTTGGCAAAGATTGTTTCGTCCGTTTAAATTAGTCCCATCTGCCTGGGAAGCGCACACATGTAGTTTATGGTATTTAATACCATAGGAAACTGCCCACATATAAAAAAGGGATTCGTTCCGTCAAAAAACACACAAAGCTATTTCGCTTGAGAAAAAACGTTTTAACATCACAACACACTAGACCATTAAGTGGAATATGAGGTACCCTGAAATGGCCATTTGGATTTCGCTAAGCACATTTTACAAATTTTTTCGCTTACCGTAGTTTTCGAGAATAAAGTAGTCACAGCCGTTCATCGTAATCCCGTTGTACCGTAGAAACAAAACAAGCTTACGCTCGAGATGATATCGTTTTTGGATGAAAGACAGAGCATCATGGATGTTATAAAGCCGGAAATTTTGTCTGTTCATGCCTCAAGGATATAAAAATTTTTTCAGTGTGCTCACTTTTCATACAGTTCCTATTGAAATTTCATTCATCGTCTATTCCCCCAGTGGAACAAATTTTGAAAGAATGACTAAAGACGACGTTCTGCGGCGTCACGACCGTGGGGTGAAATCAAGCCGAAGGAACTGGGCCAGTGCTAGTATATTGTTTTCATCCAACGCGTGGGCGTACATGCGGGATTTGACATGGGTCGAAGTGAAAAATTGTGATTTTCATCGGAATTACCCTTAATGTTGATATGGTTCTTTCCTTTTTCCGTAAGTTGGACAAAAGCTTGCAATGACTGTCCGTAGTTACCACAGAAAAAATCTACACACTCCCTTCCTTGTCAAGGCTTTTTGTTTAAGCCCTCCCCTTATCAGTCTTGAGCTAGGAGGCTGGCAATGAGTTGTTTACTTACGTGTCTTTTCAAACTCAGAGAACTCATTCAATGCACTTATATGAGGTGAAAGCATCCACTATCTGGGTCGACTCTTAACTGCTCCCCACGGACGTACGTCAAACACCAAGTACCAGTCCATCATTATCGATGCTTGAGCGCTAACCGGTAAACATGCCATAATCGTCAGTCTAATTTATGGCTGGCAGTGACAGCTTCCTGTCCGCAAATAAAATAACTCAGGGCGTTATCAGGTCCACAAACTACTGCTGCTGCTGCTGCTGCTGCTGCTGCTGCTGCTGCTGCTACTGCTGCTGCTGCTGCTGCTGCTGCTGCTGCTGCTGCTGCTGCTGCTGCTGCTGCTGCTGCTGCTGCTGCTGCTGCTGCTGCTGCTGCTGCTGCTGCTGCTGCTGCTGCTGCTGCTGCTGCTGCTGCTGCTGCTAACCGTCTGCGCACTGGGAAAATGAACTGCCTGGCGTACAGTTGGGACACAGACATCCCCCCTCCCCCTATTGGCCTCCTCTGCGTTCGCAAAAGGCCACCGGGCGCCACCATATTATGCAAATAAGGGGCACTGGAGCGGAATGTCGTCATGTGAGGGGCTCACCTCGTGCGGCCGTTTGCGTGGCCGTCTTCACAATGGCGACTGCCAACGCAACCTCGGTTATCGACGACTGATAGAAATGCGACTGCCAAGGCGAGCTGTAGTCAGCAAACACAACACCCAACCCGAAAAGAGTGGTCATATTAACTCAGAGACCACCTTGCATAAAGCTGCTCGGTTTTGAAAGTCCAAAACGCGGAAGCGAGAGGGTTAAATCTGGAGCACTTTCCTCTGGCCTGAAATGGCGAAGAAAGGGAGGTTCTTCACGGCCGAAGTGAAAAAGTTTCTCAAAGAATAGGAGGAGGTGTCCGTTTCGAGAATGGCGCCAGTGCTAGCATGAAATCATATCCAGACAAAATGACAACATGGCTGGACACGGTTGCACATTTTGTGCTCAGAAAAACAATTTGCAAGCAGATGCATTAAAGCAAGTCTCTTGAAAAATCCGGCACTCTTGAGTTTAATTTACACTACCCAGAGACTCTTACTTTCAAGTCTGAAATTAACATGCGGCATATAAACGAGCATAGCAGGAGACTCCTGTGAATGCAAACGTTGTCTACGATGTTCTTGGTTGGTGTGTAGGTATGGATCGGTTGGGTAGATTAGCCTAGAATGGAATTTGGACTTCATGCGATGCATCAAATCTGAACTAACAGCGGCGTACACGGTCCTTTAGGGTAGCAAAATGTTCCAAGAGATCCGCTGACACTCACGAAGCCAAGTCGGGCATAATGCTTATGTATGGCCTCCACAATGCCCACAAATTCCCGGTCGGGAGTGATTCTTAGTCATCACGAATGGACAAAATAGTTTTCGGTGTTAGACAGCAATGTCGAAGTTCTTCTGGAGATATTTTATTCCGAGTGTTTGCGCAAGTCGGCAACATCGCGTTTTCGCAGTAAATGCAGTAAACCGAATAGGTCACATTCGATTATAAAAAAGTAGTTACTATACTGCCCCGCTATTCAGTATTCACCTTCTTTCCCGTCATTTACAGTCAAACGAACAGAAGAATGAATCCGCGTGGAGTTGCTAGATCGGCAGCTGTCCTTCAAAAAGATACTTCCAGAGGAAAATCCTTTATCAACCGAAGGGATTTAACAAGTAACGGACAAGACCTCAGAGACTGAGAACAAGAATAAATAGTCGCACATTCCAGCTGTTCAGCAATGAAGTCGAAGTGCATCAATTTTTCTGAAAGAATGCGCCTTTAGGAGGGGAATAAGAAGCCACGTTTGCTGCGATAAGATGCCGTTGGATAGTTACTGGGCTATGGAAGGCAGCTAGCAATTTAAGTCTCTTTTAGGTGTTTCTGGAACTCAAATGCCCTGCCTTGTAGAATATTCGGTAAGGGTCAAGTATATGCGGAAATAAAAAAAGTGCTAACTGTTTTTCAACAAATTCGCCAGCGTTTTAGCACCTGCATTACTGGCAGACGCATGCATTCCATCTAAGAATATTTCGAGTATTTTTTTACCACCTGACTGCTCTCCGTGCCGAATTTTTAAAATATGAGCCTTCCTCGTACTAAGAAATTACTTGTGGGAGTTTCGGAACAATGGGCAAATGTAGGCATTCCAGAAGCACCGACCTCTCGAGACGGTACAGGTCAGAGAATTTCATCCTGCCGACCAAAGGCCGGCCAAAAATCTACCGAGTAACACCTACTTTTAAGCATATGCATGCAGTTCTCCGCAGTTTTTCTTTACCCCGAGCATATACTTAACCCTTACCGAATACCCATCACAGCTGTTATCGACTCCTCCTTCAATCCTTTAAATGTCGAAACAAGAGACGTTGTGATGAGGCAGGAGAAGATAGGATGAAGGTAGGACAATGTGTCTCCCGTACTATAGGTAGCGCTGTACCAAACACCAGGGATACTTTTTTTCGTGTCCTGACTTTAATTGGAGCACCAACCCTCTTAACCATAGTCCTAACCTGGGATTTAGCGCTAGGCCGCCTGTTATACGGGGTGTTCATATTCCCGTGCCCAAATAAACGATGCCTACAGATGAGTGGAAGCCTAAGAACTACAAAGTTTTAGGCAATGGTAGAAAAGACCGAAAGTAGGCTCAATTGTGTAGCTGCCGCTGAATGGCCTCCAAAATCGGAGCTCAGAGACCGGAGAAGGCGAGGTGGCGTGACCTATCCATCATTGACTAGGGTTCTGGGAATAGGATGACTGGATATGGGTGGAAAGCTTGATGGAGGACTTCTCATGTGGAAGATTTTACTTACTTGTACTTGGTACGGCTGCGATCATGCTTGATCTAGCCGGCTTCAGTGATGTCCCGAACTGTATTTCTCCACGCTTGACGATCCGCGGCAGCAGATCTTGACAGTTCAACCCATTCTCTTCGCCAACGACGGAGACCGATTACCGAAGGTCCAAGAACCACCTCCATGTCTTGACGGACTATGTTGAGGCAGGTTTTGGGCTGATTCTCTCTTCGACGCCTCCAGTGGGGCAACGGTGCCGGATCGAGAGTATTAACAGTACCTTGTTTAATGAATACACGAACTCGGAATACATCTTTCGGAACAGACTTTTTCAGGCACGGTTCGAAATTTGCTATGAATATTTGAGCTGAAACCACTTAGCTACTGCGGAATAACCACTTAATTTTCACAAGCCGCCAACAGTTTTAGCACTGAGTTCCTGGGGTGGACGACCAAGAACATGCATAAACCACCTCAGTCACCTTTCTTGGGTGGCCTGAGTTATCCTTACGATGTTGTCGTAGCGAGCGCGGACTGTCTCATGTGAGACGAAGTCGGTCCTCAAGCAGTGGTGGCCAAATACCTCCAGTATTCGCTCGTCCTCCAAGCACACAGCCCAGCATTCGCAACCATAGGGAAGGACAGACCGGACAGATGCACGGTACACGTGCATCTTAGTTGCGATGGGGATGTCGTGTCGGATCCATAGACATTTTCTAAGGCTTGAGAAAACCCGTCGGGCAGCATCAACTCGGCAGCCAATGCCATTCTTACTTTGCCCATTCGACAACAGTCTCGCCCCGAGGTATTTCAAACTGTCTACTTCTTCAGGTTGACTCCCATCCATCCCGAGAGCTGTCTTCTCCTGGTCAGGGATGCAGCTTGAAAACACTTTAGTCTTCCCAGCGTTTATGGATATACTGACCGATTTGGCGACCTCGTTCATCTGTGACACCATGGACTGCAGATAACCAAAACTTGAAGTTAGTAAGGCAATATCATCGGCATAGTCGAGATCAGTCAGTCGGTGTCCGGGTGCAAACTCAGCACCGGTACCTTCGTATAGGGTCCTCCCGGGAATTCAGTCGATAGCGTAATTGAGCAGAATGGGCGACAGGATACAACCCTGTCGAACGTCAGACCGAATACCAAACGGTTGTTGCGGACCAGCACTCGCGCGATGGTGGAGAGATAATAGACCTTGATCATAGCGATGATTTTTGACGGTATGCCATCTAGCTCCATTATCCACCGCAGGGACTCACGATGGATGGATTCGAACGCGACGGCAAAGTCAACAAAGCAGACGGCCGTCGGTTGTTGGTAGCTATGGCCAAATTCGAGAATGCGCCTCAGTGTCAATGTCCCGTCCGCACGTCCACGTCCAGCACGAAATCGGCTTGGTCGGGTCTCATCCTAGAGTCACGCACAGCCTAGAACAGCCTAAAAAGCTGGGGAGCCAGCAGCTAGGCTAACGGGCAGTCAGTATTGCTCATGAATCCATGGAAAAATTTCGTCTCGTCCGCTTTGCCGAGCACAGTGTATTAGACAACAGGGCAAAATTCCTATGCTTATGCTATTGTTCTCAGACGATATAAGGCTTGAAGGTCGCTCCCAGGAGTACAATGGTTGTGGGGAGCATTGTACGTGTTTAGCGATTTTACCGTCAACTCAGCCCATATTTTTTGACAATAGCCGAATTATGAAAAATGATTGCTTCTTAGTCGGCAATGTAAAACTTTCAGTGCGCATTCCGATATCCTCTTCTGTGCTTCCCTGCACGGAAACAGACTTTTCGTAAGTGATCATGGCCTATTGTCCTAACTTGTGTGTACTTCGAATGTGCCCCTATGGCAGGCCACGCGAAAAATGTGCTGGACCAACGCGGAGGGGCCAGATCGGAGTCCAGCAGGCGTCATTAGGAATGCACACCCATAACACCTGTCAAAACTCGGGATGTGGTAGGAGACCCAAGTGCAGGCGCACGCCACACCGATTGAGATTCTTGCCGCGTCCCCTCACCCCCTGCTGTTTAAAACCCTGGTCACTGTACGTTGTGGACCAGGGATGTGGAGACACGTCTTGGTGCAGGACCGGCCTCGCCAGCCATCTGCACGCTCTTCCTCCTCTGGTCTTCTTGACTCTACCTTTACACCGAGTCCAGATGGTGAAGGATGGAGTGCGGAAGACATAGCGCTGGTCTACTGTCACTTTAAACTAACTCACGCGCAAGTCACCGCCCCTGCTCTCCCTATTGTGGAGCAGGCGCTAAGCGTCGTCGGCCAAAACAAACTGTCGTAAATTTTAACATATTTCCAGGTTATGCACTTTTGCGGTAGGCAGATTCCTTTGTTCGCCGGAGAGTCAGATTCTTCGCAGCCACCTTGGAAACCGAGAAACGCCAGGAGCACTGCTGCACTGTGTAGGCAGATGCTCGCCAGCAATTTTACAGCCACTACATGACCGGACCTGCGGTCTGTGATCGTGCGTACTGTTTACCAGTCGCTGGTTTGCTGTCAGCTCTCCAAATGCAGCCTCCAGTGTTCGCATTTCGATCTACCGGAGGGGGGAGGGAAATAGCAACTTGAGAGAGATAGACTTATTATGCCGGTATGGTCACAGGGCCCCAGCACCTTCAAATCTGCGCCTTGCCTTGGTCGAACCACCCAAAGAGTTCGTCGAGTTAGGCATGCTTGGTTGCAATTGTGCATATGTTATCGAGAAACCTGTGAGATGCTAAAGTTACATGCCACACAGGAGGGTACAGAACATGAGCTGTCGTTCATATTCGCATGTGCCGTAAAGTAACCGCCAGTGCATTTATTCTTTCGAAGTAAAAGTTCTTTGCAAGATGCGAAATCATATTCATGAGGGGGTATGTTTTCTTTCACGAAACGCTATTTTCTTGTAGCGTTAGAGAGATGGCCGGTGAGCTCTTGTTTAGAGCTCTGTCTGGCAATGCGCCCATCTGTCAACTTTGAATGTCATGATTTAGATCGATAGCATAAAGCCCTTGCTGTGTGGCATATGTCTTAAGCGTGCGGGCAAGGGTCGTAAGCGTCATGAAGGTCGAGGATTTGATGGATCATGAGATCGAGGAAATAAAGAAGGGTTTCAAATACTTCGACAAATCAAACACTGGTAAAATAAAGACCGAAGAGATTGGCCTGTGTTTACGGTGGTTGAAACTAGTACCTACGCAGGCTCAAATAGCGGCCTTCATGGAACTGGGCGATCCTGAAAAACGCGGTAGGATTAATTTTGAAACCTTTCTGTCCATGGCTGCCCAACTCTGGTCTTCCGACGCTCAGAAAAGAGAAGGTGAAATCTGGGGCGCATTCCTCTGTTTCGACAAAGCGGACAAAGGGAAACTGCCTGCAGAAGAGGTGAAAAAGATTCTTACAGAATATGGAGAAGAACCGATTCCAGAGAAGGAAGCCAACGCCATCATAAAATCCTTCGTGGACAAAAAGGACAATATGGTCGAGTACGGTTACATAATACGCGCCTGGCAAAAGTGACATCTGGGAAATAGAGCTGAGTGCGGTCGATGGAAATTTTTAGGGGAGGTTTCCTTCAGTCCCGAGCTGTTAAGTTTGTTTTCATGATCACACAACATCGCTTTCCAATCTGCCATTAAAAATTAAGTGATCAATAAAAGGGTGGAATCCCAAAGACTTCTATCGAGGCAACCATTGATTACGATTTCCTTGAAGTTTGTAGGCGCAAAATTTAACAGAATATGTCTGCCCAGTATAAAATTTAGACCTTATTCGGTACATTGTATATGAACTTGCCATGACGTATTTGGCCAGCCGAATGTCTCCCACTCGTTGAATTCTGCACGAACTATAACCGCAATTCAATAAGTGCGCAGTTTCTCAAGGGCTCTCAAATTCCTAGAACGAATGGATTTTAACCATCACTGGCCGATGGGTCCTACTATTATGGCTACCACCTCATGGAAACAATCAGAAAATAAATAGAGGTCTTCTTTGATTTGTTTTGGCGTGAATAATAAACGTGCTAGTGAAAATTAATGGAAAGCGAGTTGGTTATTTAATTTGGTCGTCAGTTTCAAGTTGGCCTTCAGTTAATTAGTCATTAACTGACTCGTCCGGTTGAAAGTAAACAGTTCGCCGGCGGTTTTCAACAGGAATTCAATTAGTCGAAATAGTTACCCTTTAATTTCCTCAGAAATTAACTGCTAGCTTGGAGTAGATTAGTTTATACTAGGGTCTATAGGCGCAAACCAAAATTCGATGCATGAATATTTGGGCCGAAGTCCACCGGCCACAGTGGGATGACCACGTAATATTCATTAACTACCGACAGACAGCTATTAACATATTTTAGCGTCAGGAGATACTGTACTAGCAGCCGCCTCCTGAGGAAATTAAAAGCAACAATTCATAAATTCAGAAGATAGAGTGGCGAGTGAACGTTCCTTTCGGTAAATTCTCATCAGGCCAATACAATTACATAGGGCGGGGTACAGTGAGTGAAACAAAAATCGATAAAAGTTAGGTTTTAAATTACAGGCTCGGCAAGAGCGAAAGGGCGCCGAAAGTTGTATGTGGTTAGTCAACCTTTGACCACGGTAAGCGCGGAGCCTGAACAAGGTTCTTTTGGGCGCATAGGGTCGGTTTTCGTAACCTTATGGCGGCCGCTTCCGCTGTTGCTAGCAGGCGCTGGCCCAGTAGCTTAGGGTAGCTCGAGGGGACCTTGTAAATCACACGAAATGCTTCGGTGGGATCCACACGATGCCCTGAGTCCACTGCATGAGCAAGGATGGCGCTGTCTATTCTCCTAGTTTCACCCTTTGCCAGCCATGCGGGAAGGTGCTCTCGTATTCTTTTGGAAAGGCGCCGACTCGTACGACCAATATAACCTGCTCCACAGGAGCAAGTGAATGAGTAGATGCACATTGAGGCGGTCTGAGGTGGCAGCCTATCCTTGCCTTCTCCGCGTAGAATAGGGTTAGTGGAGAATGATATGCGAACCCTTGCTGCTGGGAAGGTTCCCGAGACAGCTTGGTCAAGGCGTCTTCTTAGGAGTTCACCTGCAGCGTCTCCTTGGAAGGGGACTTTGAGGAACAACGTTTTCTTCTCGGCGGTTAGTGTGGTGGGTTTTGCAGGTCGTTCGGCAAGGTTCTTTGCAATGAACCTATCAGGATACCCATTTTCGCGAAGCAAGTCCTGGATCTTTCTAAGGTCCTCCTCGATACTATCTTTCGAACAAATTTTTCTAGCCCTTTGTGCCAAACACCTGACAAGATTCCGTTTTTGTTGGAGAGGTACGAAACTAGCGAAGTTCGTGTATTGTCCAGACCAGGTTTTCTTTCGATAGACACTCCTTCGGATGCTACCGTCAGATTTCCTGTTTAGAAGGACATCTAAGAAAGGAAGCGAACCAGCTGTGTCACGCAGCGGCGGAATATCCGCGAAACACGTGTCTGGGCTTTTAGTTAGTACTTGTGCCGCCATTATGGTATCTTTCAACGCTAAAATAGTTAAGCTTGTTTAATTGATAATTGGCCAGACACCTTCTTCGTTTTTAGTAATTTAGCTCTTCAGTTACTTAGACAATTAATTTAAAAGTTGTAGTTAACCTTTTGACGATTTGCCTGTGCGATACACGTCTTTTTCTCAGAAAGCCATTTTTTATTTTCGAGTGGATCCTTGTGGAGGCCTCGTATGCAGCGTCTGTTTTTGCTTCCCGATGACGTACGTCGTGGGTAGAGCTAATGATTGGGTTCGTCCATAAAACTCCTCTTCGTCACACTGGCGGTATCGACATCCTGCGTTGGAAACTAGTGTTAAAGCTCCTTCCTAGCATTCACATCCGGTAAAAAGAGTCAGAGTGATGTTTTCATCCGACCTCGGGTGGCAGACGCAAAAAAACAAATACGTTTTCATGAATAAACATTCCTAAATGTCGTAATTTTGTTGTTAACTGGTTGACCTGTTCTTCTGCCAAACACTGTAAAAGTAGTCTGAAGTGAAATCTACGTTCATGTGTGGAGTATACGAAAGCTTTCCCAAAGAACTGTGTTTCTAAGCCATCAGAGGTGGCATACGATTTCGGCGGAACGTAAGCCTTCCGATATATTTGATAAACTTCCACGCTTCCTTACTGCTAACTCTTCCTGTCTACCATCTACTTTCTAATATTCTTTACTGATTCTGAACCCTAAGGGGCTTACAGTAAATTGCCCAAAGCAAAGCATGACGAAACATAACTCCCAATAAATGGCTGTTTTAGAGCAGGGGAGATTATTTTGCATAGTTCTTTCTCGTTGTATATCGTAGATTGTAATTGATCGTAGCGGAGTTAATCAGTACTTTAAACAATCCACCTCTCAAGCGAAATACGTAAGGAAGGCCAGCTATGAAGAGCGGCTTAAAGGAAGTTCGGAGACCGTCTGAAGGCCATCCACCCTGGCCACATCCCCTTACATCCGAGCATGCAGGGACAAAGGAAGGAATTACTGCGTTTGCATGTCCTAATGAATAAAGAGAGCGCCTTAAAGCACCCCGCACTTAATCAGGCTCAACATATCCGTCGAAAGTCGTGAAATACTGATCGAAACTATCGAATAAGCTCCTCAGTGAAAATTATTACCTTCAGAAGGTTTTAATTTTTATCTGAAAGAGACATAATCTGAAGCGGGTCTCTACAAGACAGCAGGCCGCCTTTGAACTGAGCATCGTCGTAATGTTAGCTCGAACGCCGTAAACGACAATGTCCACCACTGCTGTGCGGGGAATGCGCAATTATAACTTGGGGCAAAATGGGACTGACTTGTGCTGCACATGCCTCACCCCCTCCCACACCGCCGGGCTCCAGTGGCAAGCCAACATGAAGACTACCAGAGTTGGACGTAAGTACATTGGTCGACAAAACTAAAGAGCGTGTCTAGGTCTGATGCATGCGTACCAGATAATATTAGAGGAGGGGGACTGGGAGCTAACGTGAGTTTGAACATCATAGCGGCTACACTAAAGGGGAGTCATCGCTGTAGCCTCCTGTGGAAATAACAGTAAAAAAAAGTAGTTGACTATTTCGGGTAAATTTTAAATCAATTCCCGCTCTTCGTAATAATTCACTTGTACCTCTCACATATAATACATCGACGAGGTAAATGTTTTGCAATCTTCACATGGGAAACTACTTTTCTTATGATTGGATTCTTGGAAATTTTACAATTTTGGCAATTTCCATGTAGCCGACTATTTTGGCGCATGGAACATTATTGTGCTCAAATCGTCTTATAGGAAGTTGCACATATAGGATTCAGACTTATGGATTCTGCTAAAGTTCGTCGTAATAATAATTTTCCGATGATCGTAAGAATATTTAAGCAGTCGACTATATTATGTGATGACTTAACGCTGTGAGCAAAGTATACGACGTGGTCCATAGCTGTTGCCGCCGCGTATGGGGAGTAATGGAAATTTGCCCTTAACAGAAAATTTAAATTGACCCATCTGAAAGCATGGCGGGTAGTTTGGAAACCTCGGGAATAATGATACAGGCTGTTTGGGTCTTTAACCGCGCGGGTGCTAGTATATCTCCTTAAAACCGAAGTACTCCTTCCTTTGAAGCAGAAAGTGATAACAGTGCATGCAGCCCGTGGCTCGCAGATTTACAACTCACGGTCGAAATAATCAAACATACAACTCACGCCTTCATTTCCCCGCTCCAGCCTACAGGTACCTAGGGTGAGTTTACTCACTCTGGCAGCAGTGAATTTTCGTCCCCTTGAAGGCATTTTGAGGAGCAATCGGTCGAGACGGAGGACGACATTAATCGCTCAAGAATTGGCGCACTAAAAAGTAAACATCGCTGCTCTCAGAGAGATTCGCTTCTCTGAAAAAAGTCGGCTGAAGAAAGTCAGGGCCGGTTACACCTTTTGGAGCGGGCGCCGAAAGGCGGAGCCACGCGACGCTGCCGTCGCCTTTACCATCTGGAACGACATCGTGGAACGACCGTTCTGTTTGCCACAGGGCGTCAACGACCCACTCATGAGACTGCGTCTGCCTCTCCGGGGAGACAAATTTGCCATTTGCTTACCCCTTTGAGTTTCTCCAGGAATTGAGCTGACGAAGAGACCGTATTGTCTGACTCAGCGGTCAGGAACTTGAGACGCCGGAACAGCCACTTAGCCAGTCCGTACGTTGGAGCCCCTTTGTGCGACAGGATGGGTGGGAGAGGAGCGCCGTCTTTGTGCACCTTAGGGAGGCCAAAGAATCGGGCCAAAACCGTATCTTGGGGTCTCGCCATGCGTTTATCGGTCGGTGTTATTGCATCTGAGTTCTCCAAAGCCAACAACGTAGCATTAATTTCGCGTGTCAGCGCCTTTAAATGGTCCGACCCATCGTGTCGCTCAAAGGGACTCCAACGTACGGACTGGCTAGTCGCTGGTCTTCCAACATCACAGACCGAAATTCTGGACCCGGTATGTGGATGACACCTTCGTCGTCATCGAACGGGATCAGGTGTTGACATTCCAAGAACA